GTATAATGATTTTGGCTTTTACTCTGGGAAAAATGAGGAGCCATTGGAAATTCTGCAGCTCTTATTTCTGTAAGATGTGTATCATTGTTTATATTTCTAAAGGATAGGTTCCAACAGTGGGACTGCTGGGTCAATCTGTAGCATATCTTAAAATTTCATAGACCTTGCCAAATCTTTTCTGAAAAGGTTGTAGTAATTCATGCCCATACCAGCAATGAATGACTATTTTCTCGAATCTTCTCCCACACTGCATAGTGCAACTAATGATGTGTACTTTCCAAACTAATGGATTTGTCATTGAGGTCATAATACTTATGTATTTATGTTTATCAGATATTTTAATTTTCTCATCTCTCTGTTCAGATACTTTTCCTTTAGGTGGCCATTTTTGTTAACTGAAGTCCACATTAGTCCTTTGTTATATGTGTTGAAAACATTTATCTACACTGTCTTTTAATGTCTTTATTGTTTTCTAAACATCAAATTCACTAAGTGCAATCATCCTCAAGCTATTTTCTTTCCATATTTTCTTGTCTGACTTAGGTATTTGTTCTGTCATAAAAAATCTTTTTTTCTAGTTCATAAGGATTTAATTAGATGTCTAATGTTTTCATAAATGTAATCTTAGGACACACTGATGTTGCTCATCATTTCAGTATGTATGCAGATTACTTCATTCTCATACCCTACTGCATTAGCTAAAACTTTAAAATGCATAAACCAATGATATGGCAAGCCTCTATCCTCTTTGTTGTTTAAGTGACTTTACATTTTAATGTTTAATATTTAATATTTGCCAATATGGCAGGCTTTAGACTAAGTTATTTTCTATTTCATATAAAGTTTTTGTTTAAAAATAGCTCCTAGGGCTTATCAAATTTTCTTTCAAATCATTTATGGAATTTATTATATACTCTTCTCCTCTTACTTGTTGACTTAATGTCACAGCCTGAGATTTTCCGAGGTCAAACCATCTTTGCTTACTTATCCTTATTGTCATTGCTTTTTTCTTATTTCTCTTAATCAGATACAAGCTGTAAGTTTAATTTTGTCTTGACCCAGCAAAGTGTTTTGTGTTATAAAATCTCTAAGTAACTAATTTAGTATGTATGACTTTCACTGGTTATAACTTACTGAGACTTTTTTGTGGTCAAGGGTATGATCAGTATTGACATATATTTCAAAGACATTGGGAAACAAATTATGTGTTGTGTTTTGTTTTTGTGGGTACCAGAGTTTGAATCAGGACCTCATGTTTTCTAAGCAGATGCTTTATTATTTTAGCCATGTCCCTAGCCTTTTTTTGCTTTAGCTTGTTTGGTTTTTTTTAGATAGGGTTTTGCATTTTTGCTTGGATCCAGCCTCAGACTTCTATGTTTCTATTCCTCACATATAGTTGAAATTACAGAAGTGAACCACTATGTCCACTTACTTGTTGAGATAGGATCTTGCTAACTTTTTGCTTGGGCTGGAGTCAAACCATGATCCTCCTGATCTCTGCCTTCACAGTAGCTGGGGATTACAGGCATAAGCCACTGTGCCCAGCCTTTGTTTTAAAATCACATGATTAAATAAAAAATCATTCTTACTAATTTACCCAGAACATGTACATTTTATCCATTTTTTGCATATGTGAAGAGTCAAATTAGAAGCAAGTTGCTTTCCAATGTCCATAAAAAATTGGTTTCATTACTTATATATTAAAATTTTGCCTTGATGTTGATACAAACAGCTTCGCTTTTTATTTTGCTCACAATTACATGCCACAACTTGCCTATCTTTCTTCTTAACAAATTTTGTTTCACTCTACCTTGGTTATGTCTTCCATCGGATTCTATGCCTTTCAACATCATCAATTTTCACTTGTATTTAGTGTTATAAATATTTTTTCCTACTGTTGTTTTCTGTTTTATCTTTTATAACTCCTTATTATTACCTCTCCAAAAATGAAAACTTTTGCTTTTTACTTTTGTTTTTCAGTGTTTCATAATGTTTTATAAGGTCTGGTTTTACTGAATCAATGGTTCAAATTCAACTTTCAAACTCAACCTTTAATCTAGTTCTACAACTGTTGCAGTTGAATTTGAAAACATTTTGTTTAAGTTATCCATTGAAATAAACCATTTAACTCAAATTTCCTTTTGCCAATCAACTCAACATTATAAATTGTTTATACAATTTGGAGTTTCATTCAAATAGCTGTTGTTTGGAATTTTTTCCTGTGTTCTTCAATACTTCTGTTTCTTTTGCAGTAACTTTTTTCTCTCTTTTTTTGTTATTTTCTTTTTGTTATTCTTTCTAATGCTGGAGAATTTCCTCACATGTCTATTGATCTGTGGCTATCTGTTTCTATTTAAAAGGAGGCTATAGAAATCAATCAATGTGATTTACCACATTAAAATAAGGAAGGAAAAGCATATCAATGCCTCAATTGATGCACTTGATAAAATTCAACATCAGTTCATGATAAAAATGTCAACAAACTAGGAACAGTTAGGGACTTCCTCAGATTGACTTATGCTCCACACATATAGACATGTGCTGTTCAATGATGGGGATTCATCCTGAAAAATGTGCCATTGGGCTATTTCAGTGTCATGTGGGAAAACCAGAATGTACTATACTTACACAAACGAAGACAACTACAGTTCACCAGGTGATATAGTGTTATGAGACCACCATTATACATTCAGTCCATCACTGACTGAAACAACGTAGTATGTGACTACACATCTGTGCTTGTGTGTATTTGTGTGTGTGAAAGAAAGAGGGAGAGAGAGAAAAAATGAAATATCATACTTAATGGTAATATCTAGTGCTTTTTCTCTGAGACTGGAAGGTGAGGAAGCCCAGTCTCACCACTTGTATACTGTATTTCAATTCCTAACTAGTACAGTAAGATAAGAAAATAAAAGTTGTTGTGAAAAAGTGAAATAGTCTTTATTTGCTGGTGACATGATTCTTTTCTCCTTCCTTCCTTTCTTCCTTCCTTCCTACCTTTCTTTTCTTTCTTTTAGCAGGTCTCACTGTGTAGCCAAGCTAGACTTGAACTTGTGATTCTCCTGCCTCAGTCTCTTAAGTGCTGGGACTATAGACATGAACCACTATGCCCACCTTGACATGATTATTTTCCATATGACCCAAAGTAAATGGGGGTGTGACTCAAGTGGTAGAGCACCTGCCTAGCAAGTGCAAGGTCTTGAGTTCAAACCCCAGTACTGCCAAAAACAAAACAAAATAACACCCAAAGTAAATCTATAAATATTTTAGTAGAAATAATACATGATGGTTCTATAAATGGTTAATGTTTTTCAAAAAATTCTATCTCCCTACAATAGTAACAAGCAATTTTAAATTTAATACCATTCAAAGTAACATCAAAAAGATAAGACTAACTAGGAGTAAGTTTAATGAAAGATGTGCATGACTGCTATACTGAAAACTAAATAATGCTAGTCAAAATTAAAGAAAAATAAATGGAGAAAGATTTACAATGCTAAGCATTTTGGAAGCTCAATGTTAAGATGCAACAACGTGGGTGATGAGAAAAAGAAGGTAAAGCAACAGCATACGTACATAATGCATTTTTCTATGTATATGAAATCCCAAACAGAGAAGAATAGCATATGGTGATTGAAATGACAGCAGTGTTTGCTCCTGAGAGGCTGCTGGTTCACGTGGTAGGTGCGTGGTTCGTGGGTCATTTCTCAAACAACACATCCATTTTTACCTCATGTCTCCCTCACCATCTCCTCTGCCTCTCTGGGGCTCCCAGGGGCACATTGGCTTCTTTCCTGACCCCTGGAAACACCCTCCCCCTACCACAGCAATTAGCACTCCTCTAACCACTTTTTCTCTCACAGATTTTGGTTAAAACTCTCTCATTTTTTCTTCATCCTCTGCCACTTACTTTACCATCTAATTCCTTGATTATCATTTAAGTATCATATTTGTAAATAAAAATGATGAATGCTTCTCTTCAATCTAAAATCTTTAACCAGAGACTTTTTAAAAAACAGAAATTCAAGGGCTGGAGGTGTGGCTCAAGTGGTAGAGCTCCTCCCTTACAAGCAGAAAGCCCCAAGTTGAAACCCCAGTACCCCCCAAAAAGATATTTTTTAAAAAGCACAAATTCAAAAAACAACAGTGTTCCATTATTATTTCTTGTCATATGTTGGATACTGAGAAATGTTCACAGCTCCCTCTGGTTTGGCAAAGAAAGTGTATGGGTTTTCCTAACATTTAGAAATACAGAGTTGTTGATTGCAACACTAACATTAGAAGAATAAAGTCATCAAGTATGAATCAGAATTGCAGGCTCAGATTTAAATAGCTCTCACAGGAAACTAGCAATTTCTGAGATTCAGATGCTTAAAAAGATTCACTCTACACAATGATGGCACAGACAGGTTCGTATTACAGGAAGCAGAAGTGGAAGAGAGACTTGACATTGTTGGGAATTCCTATTTACACATTGTCCTATAGTCTTTATTATTAACCAGATCATATATTTATTAATTAATTTAATAATACAGAGTGGTATTTCCCCCTTGACAGCTAGAGGTAAGACAGGTAAGACATCTTGTGTTTGTCTTTCTGAGATTTTTCTCTTAGTTGTTAATGAAGATACATTTTCAATGTTGGATTTCATTTTTATTCCTCTGTGCCTCACCTGCTTATGCTACCTCAGTTTTGTAGGAATTTGGTTTTTTTAATTAAACTATTCTAGATATGTTTAGGTGAAGGTATCTGTGCAATGGCTTCATTCAGGACAGACTAGACTTTTTAAGTCCTATATATAAATCTTTCATAGCCTTCATGTTTTTTTCTGCTATGTCTTTGCTCATTGCTTCAGTTCCATTTACTTAGGTAACTCTATTCAGGACCACCTGATTTGTATATGGTGGTTCTTCATAGCTTATCCTTCAGATAAAATCTTATAGCTTCCATGGCATCTCACAATCTTGATGGCCATTTTTCATGGTATCCTTTCTCTCTAGCATGTCCACAGAAGACCAGAACACAGAAGAGGCTATATTATTCCATCATTTCAAAAGACATAAAGTGGAGATTTCCAAGGCAATAAAAAAGCCATTTCCTTTCCTTGAGGGTCTCCGTGACCGTGACCTGATCACCAATAAGATGTATGAAGTAAGTGAAGTTTATTACATAATTAACTTATGCTTTAATATCTTGGAGCCAAACTTCAGAGGACAACTAGATGACTGATGAGTTTCTGGTAAAGTGGTGCCTTTTACGTATTTCTGTAAGTGCTTCTGCAAGGTAGAAAGGGAGAAGAGAAGCAGAGGTCACTGGAGTTGGTCCAGCTTCTAACTGTGGAAAGGGTGTCCCACAGAACCTTCTGGAATCAAGGAGAATAGCACCAAATAAGCAAGATAGAGGGTATTTCCTACAGGTATGAATGTCTTGTGTATTTCATACAATATAACTCATACAATTTAACATAAACTAAACTAAAAATAAGCCAAAAATTTGAAAAATTTTTAATGAGCTGATGAATTATTTTATTGAGCTGACTTATTGAAACAGTAATTAGCACAGCATTTTATTTCAATTAATATGAATTCTAAAAACCTAAATCTGATACCGTTCAAACCCACAGGGTATCCTGTCAGGACAAAATTGAGAGTAGATGCTTGACATTCTTTCTGTGACATCTTCCAGTTTTCTTTTTCTTAGTACTGCTCAACTTCTTCTATTATAGAATTTGAGAAAATTTTTATCAATAGGCCCCGTTGAGATTCAGAGTAGTGAGTCTTTAGCCCAGTGAATATGCTTTCTCTTAGCCAAGTTCACAGCCAGCAGGCATGGTCACCTGATTTCCTTCTGCCTTTCAGGTACTAGGGGAAGGTCAGGAGTTGTCCAGTTACCAGGACAGCCCCCTTCAACCACTAAGTCTATTCCCAAAGCATCTTGGCTTTGGATTACACATCAGTTAATTTAATCCACTTTCATCCCTCAAATTTGCTCCTTCTTAAGTATGATGTAAATGAGGTGAGAAGGTCAGAGTCCTGATGGATATTTTTAAAGATGAAGGACTTATTTGTTTCATTTACCTATGCACCTATATAAAAAGTCCAAAACTTTACATGAGAAGATATGTCTGTAGGGAAATTGAAATGTGTTACTCTTTTAGGGCTCTTCTGTAACTTTGAAGTCTGTGTTTAATTTTGTCCTTTCAATATTTTTTAAGGATTCTCAGGATTCTTGTAGAAACTTGGTCCCTGTGCACAAGGTGGTGTACAATGTTCTCAGTGAACTGGAGAAGACATTTCACATGGATGTTCTGAAAGCACTGTTCAGCGAGGTCAACATTCAAGAATACCCTGAATTACTTCACATTTTCACAGCCTTCCAAAATGGTAATTGAGTTTATTACCATCTTTTGAGGGCCAGGGCCAATTTTTGTCAACAAGCACATATTGAGCTTCTACCGTGTGTCACATTCTGCGCTGGGCAGTAGAGACAAGAGTAGTTAACAAAACTGGGCTGGTGGAGTGGCTCGAGTGGTAGAGCACCTGCCTTGCAAGCACAAGATCCTGAGTTCAATCCCATTACCACCAAAACAATTACCATAGTAGTTAACAAAAACAAAATGTCATGAGCTGTTTCAAAGCTTATGGCCTAATGCTATGGAAGACACCTACCAGAAGTCTGCTCTATTGGACATTTAGAATTACATGACAACCAGAGCCACACTGTCATCAGGCTTAGGTAGAAAAGCATACAAGAAACATAGAGTCTCAACAGGACATCACTGTTGCTTCTCTTCAGTGGAAGCTATGGCAGGCCTACACAGCAGACCACCAAGTTGCCTCCTACCTGCCTTGGCTGAAAGTGCAGCTGTGGGAGCAGGATCCACCCTGGTTTAGCCTCACATGCCCACAGAAGTCAAGATCTCTTACAACAATTACATAGTCCTAGTTTTCAGGGACCCCACAAGGGAAAAGTCAAGTATAAGTCACCACATTGAAGGAAAACCAAAGTCATGGCTTCTTACAGGGGATCTATCTGAAGCTCATACCCAGCCCCTACCACTCAGTCAGTCATGGTCATTTTTACCTAAGCCCAATGTTTGTCTAGTAGCAGCTTAAAAACCTTTACTAGTTTCCAGATTTTAATGAACAAGAAAGTTTACCTTGGCTCAAATTTTTCTTTAAAAAAGAAATGGTTTTATTAACCCTCTATCACAAGATGTGAAAGAAACATTAATCATATAGTCAAAACACAGATTGCTCTGCCAGGGACTATTTTTGGTGCTATACAAGACCGAAGGTTTGAGTCTCAACTTTTTCCTATAAGACATAAGTTACAATCTTTAATCAGCACATGATAAAAAAGTTTTGTTAACTTGCCTAGAAAACTTTTTGTTCCTACCCAGTTTGATATCAACTAAGTTCTCCACATATGAGGTATCACAGGAAAATAGATACATGACCTGAGGAAGACCAGAAATGGAGGTATGGAATGATGTTCACAAAACACAGGCAGATTTGGTTTGTCTAAATCAGAGTGAGAAATACGAGTGTAGGAGTTGAGTCAATTGAGATAAATTGAAGAAAGATTTTTGAAAGATCTGGCAACTAAGAAATCTGAAATTTATTACTGGGTAATAAAGAGCTACTACAGTGGCATAAATAAGAAAAAAAATTATAAGTGTGTATCTGTGGCTTGTTGACTGTGTCAATAGTGACCCTACCTAATAAAGAATAAAATAACTTCTATTTCAAGTCAGAAAGGCAAGTCAATATTCTATTTGAAACCAGAATGTCCCCAGGCTGAGGGTACAGAAGGAACAGTGTTGCCTTCACTCCCACACCTCAAGGACTCTGGTCCTCGCCAAGCACTGCAAGGACCCCTCCTCAGAGCCCCACCCACATCTCATGTGTTAGTTTCTGCACCTGAGGTTCAGCGCCCACCGGTGCCAGTGCCCCAACCACCTGCTCTCAAGGAAAAGCTACCACCTATCATGTCTGCTCAAGCTGTCCTGTGTCCCGTTGTGTCCTTTTGGAACCCACACATCCTCCCCTGGCACAATTAGGACCAAGCCCTAGTCTTTTGCAGCCCCATCTTGAAAGCTGTTAGGGCTTTCTCGTATATGGATCTCTAGAGGGACCAAGAAGCCATCTGTTTCTTCCTACAATTTGACCATTTTTCTTCTGTTACCTGATTTCATATATGAATTCCTGGCCCTCTGAACATTTTTAGATGAGTAGCACAGCTCAAAGTGTGTTGCCTGGCTCTTTGTCCTTTAATTTGAGGGTCTCCTTTCTGAGGTTGAAGCACAAAGACTCCCTTTTGTGGGGGGAAGGTCTTCTCTGCTCTGTCCCAGAGCTTGGCAGGTGGGCTTTGTCATGGGGACTCACTGAACTCTGAGTCTCAGGGGTGGGAGGGGGGGAGTGCTAGAAATTCCTGTGTGTGTAATTTTGAGATACTGTTCTGAGTCCCTCCTGGAGATTTCTAATCACCTTCTCCCCCTCCCTCTCCCTTTCTCTTTCTCTCTCCCCACACCAGAGGTCCAGAAGAAAATGAATTACCAAGAAGGTAATAGACAAGAGAGCGAGGAGGCGCTGAACACCCAAATAAGTATAGAGCAAGGTAATCACAACTGCAGAAAAGCTGTTTCTCCCCTTCTCAGAGAGTGTGAAGCAGGGAAGAAATGTGGATGGACCATGGAGAAGGCAAGGAGAGAAGTTTCTATGATCCTGTGTCAGTCAGCTTTCCCTTGCTGGGACAAAATACCTAAGTGAAACCAAGCATGGTGGTGAATGCCTGTAATTACAGCACTTGTGATGCACAGATGACACGTGCAGGAATTTCAGGTTGCTCAGGGTTCTCGAGCCTGCTCTGAGAATGAAAGCACAGATAGACTCTATCAGCAGAGGTCGGAAAGCTTTTATTTGGTTAAGAATTATTTGTAGAGAAGAGTAAGACAAAAATTCGCATATTGGGGAAGCAAGGGGAACCCAGAAAACCCAGTGATCCCATGGGTCAGCGGTGGGGAGTGGTTTTTTTATAGCCCTTTTTTTTTTTCTTTTTTTTTGCATTGCCTGAGGGCGGGGATGCCTCTCAGATGCAAACTGGAGTTTCCTAGAGAGAAGTGTCTCTAGGATCTTGACCTCCATGATCTGTCCTTCCCTTGGGAGGCTGAGGCAGAAGCATCACAGGTTTGTCTCAAAAAACCAACCAAACAAAAATATACCTGAGAAGAAAATCAAAACTTATAGAGGACCCCAGAAAAATGAAGGGGTTAACAAAAACATCCCTTTTCGTGGCGGGAAAAAAATCTTTTTGGCGGGGGGGTGGGGGGGGGGGGGGGAGGGGGGGGGGGGGGGGGGGGGGGGGGGGGGGGGGGGGGGGGGGGGGGGGGGGGGCCGCCCCCACCCCACCCAAAAAACGGGGGGGGGGGGGGGGTTTTTTTTTCTGGGGGTTCATGACTGCTTGACCCCCATCTCTTTGGACCTGTGGCAAGACAGATCACCTGGCATGAGGGCAAGACTGCTCACCTCATGGTGGCTTGGAAGCAAAGAAAGAGAAGAGTCCAGGATCCTGATATGTCCCTCTAGGGTACGCCCCCCAGTGACCTAACCTTCTCCCTTAGGCCCCACCTCTTAAAGGTTCCAGCTCCCATTATGCCACAGCTGGGGACCAATCCTTTAACAAAAGAGCTTTGACGCTTTCAACCTCCAGCCCTTCTCCCTTCCCTATAGGTCAGAGGATCTAACCCGCCCAAATCATGCTTAGAACTCCTAAAGAACTAGGAGGACAACCAGCCTTCCATCTGAGGAGCTATTTCATTAACATTAACATAGCCAGGATTGGAAAGGGCTGATTAGGAACAACAAAAGATGCTCTACTCTTATCACTTGGGGAATTCCAAAGAGTTTTAGGAGCTCTGGCCAGGAGCAGGAGGTGAAGAGCAAGACATCTATTTCTTATTATGTCACAATGCCAGACTTGATACTAGCAGAAGATGGGAGGGATATAAATGTGAGGACTGCTGTTGGAGAGAAGGAATATCCAGGAGAAAGACAGATACAGAGAGGAAGTGGTTGAGATGTGAAAAGAGCACATGGGGACTTTGAGAGAGAGACAGGAGAGGAAAGGGAGGAGCAGAAAAGGGCAAAGGACAAAAATAAAAAGAACAGTGGTGTTGACACCTCATGATGATTGAGCGTTTGCTCTTGGCTGCTATGGCTTTCATTCTCCAGTGGCCACTGGAGATTGCAATCAGGTGGCCATTCTACAACAAGGAAACGGAAATCTAGAGAGACTGTGTATAGAGTTTGCCAGGAGCAAATGAGCAAGGGAGAGCCCAGGCTTCCTGAGCCCAGCACCCACGCTCTTACCCTTGTACTGCTACCCAAGCAAACTGCTGAAAAAGGCGCAACTTGAAACAAAACTAGGAAATGCACGCAGAGAGAGAGAGAGACAGGAAGTGGGGTCAATCAGTCACTGAGTCCTCTGCAAAGGCTGGCAAGGAACAGCCAACTTTAAGTTGATTTCTCTTAGATATTTTTGGGTGGTTGGTTGGTTTTTTGAGACAGGGTCTTGTTTGTGACACAAGCCGGCCTCCCAAGTGCTGTGATTACAAACAGGCACAACCATGCCTGGCTTTACTTGGGTATTTTGTCACAACAAGGGAAAGCTGACTAACACAGGACCCATACAAACTCTTCTCCTTGGTCCTGACATTTCTTCCCTCAACTCATATGTGCAGAAAGAGGCTGAGGTGTGAACGAGGTAAGATCCAGGCAACCAGGACTGCTAGGCACTCAGACTGTGGGGACAAAGATAGGCTGACTTTGGCCATGGATGTCAAGGCAAGTCATCCCAAGTGCTAGAACACCTCATGGAGGACACTAGTGAGGTGGTTAGATGAGGCCCTCAGTGAGGGGGTGGCTGACCCTGTCCCCACTCTTGAGGCTGGAGTTCGACTTCAAGAATCAGTAGGACCTGTCAGATCCAGATGGGCTCTGGAATGATAATTTGGGCCGGGGAGTCTTTAACTCCTGCATTATAAACACAACAGAGAGAGAGGAGAACCCCCTTACTTCAATTTCTAAAGTAAACCTCTAATCTCTCCCCTAGGATCTGGTGAAAACTATTTTCAAGGAAGCCTGACCTGGTCACCTTCAGCTCTCTCATCTTACAACGGTCTGTTCCTGTTGGTGTTTGTATGATCCTTTGCTGTCCCATCGTTCTGAAACGTGCCGTAGGGCTGCTTCCTTGTGTTTCTGATTGCCCGGACTCTTCAGTCCTAGCACCTGTAGTTTCTCCAGGGTCAGGATGTAAGGACAGGGTCTTTACACTCTGGATTGCCTGTGAGGGTCTTCTTGTCATACCCTTTACACATAGCTGCTGCCAGTCCCTGATGGTATCGGGCCTGGAGATTTTCCCACGCTCCTGGCTCCAAAGTTTTTCGGCCTGAATGTTGCTTGAATCTGGCTACTATTGTGTTATTTTGATCTTAGGTCCAGCGGAGGCCAGTGTGGTGGTGGTTAGAAGGGTGAAGAGCAAGTTCCCTCTGTGAGGCAAAATACCCTTTTGGGTCCACCACATGGCACAAGGACACCACTGTGCTTCCCACTCACCATCACTGGTGCTGCAGGCCAGATGCCCCATTCAGATACCAGACGGCTCACTGCAAAAACTCTCTGGTCCTTTAACCACTCTAGACCTTTCCTTAACCCAAAACATTCTTGATAACATAGCATACAATTCTTTAATATTATAAATTTAAGGCACTAATTATAGCGATTTTCTTTTTTCTTATCAGACATTATTTTACTTATCTTCTCAAAACTTTAAAATAATGACATGTCATTCCCATTTTTTTCAGAAGAGAAATTTGGTTTCAGGGGTTTGATTCTTTGTGCAATTTCACCCAACTAAGAATTGGGATTTAGCTCTGCTAGAAGACAGGGTCATAGCAAGAATTTTTGGTGCCCCAGTGCCTGGGTTCAAATTCTGACTCTGTGATCTTGGACAAGTCACCCTCTCTCTTGGTACCTCCGTGCAAGTGTAACAGTAGTATATGTTTCGCAGGGTTGATGTACTTTAAACAACTCGTGTCGTGAAAAGCGTTCACAGTCATGCCTGGTGCCTCAGTGGCATTTCACACATTTCTTACTGTTACTAATTTAGTTATCAGCATTATTCGTCCTTGCTTCCAGAGTCTAAGCTTTTCACCATTGCATTATACTTAGGGATTTTCTGTGTGCCTGACGTGGACATTCCTTGTGGATTTAATTATTCTTCAGGCTGGAGAAGAGATGATAGAAGCCATACCAGTGTCATCCCAGGAAATTAAGCTAGGGTCACAGACTCCCCACCAGAAGAGCACACTGCTGTACAAATACTAACTTGTATTTCTTTAGTCCATGACTCTTCTTTGGACTGGGTCTCCAGGGAATGTCCACTTTGGAAGGCCCCTTACTTCGTAGCTTCCAGTTGGGATATGTTATTTAAGAAAAGATATTTTTTAATTGGTAATATGTTTTTATATCACTTTTCTTCAAAAACTTACCATTAGGAAATATAAAAAGTATGACGTGCCTGAGTCCCTGTTCTTAGTTATCCATCCTGCAGATGATGGGAACAGGAGGGAGTGGGGGAGGGACCTGATGAGAGCCAAGCAGAGCCAAGGGATCCATTTGAAGAAGGGGTGTGGGAGAAGGAAGCAAACCCTTCTTTCCACATGGTCTGGGGGCAACCCTACCTGGAAATGGAATCCCAGAGCATCTCTATGATGGAGACCAGATGAAAATAAAGAGAAATTTCGATTACAACCCAGCTGATGCACAAAGAGCACAACAAGCCACCAGTGAGTGTGTTGAAGAGTCTGACCCAGCAGGAATACTGACTGACAGGCCGGGGGAGGGCTGTGTCTCATGCCCACTACACAAAGAGGGCAACTCTGAGCAGTCATAGATGGTGGCACAAAGCATGCGCCCGGGTTCATGTTCCATATTCACAGCTATGCAGTTATTTTTTAAATCATTTTCCCATAACTTACTTTGTTTGGAAAAATAGCACTAAATGAAAAAAATGCAGATACACTGAAAAATATCTTTATTTATCCATTCATTTACTGTTGAGATAGTGAGAACAGAGTGGGATGGGTAGATGGAATCAATAACAATTAATATGATAACAATAACTCCACCATGGGGGAGGGGTGGTGTGCTGGTCTGTGTTTATTTGCCTTGGGATTCAGTCCTTACACTCCCCCACTGCACCCCTCTGCCCCCCCATCTCTGGCCTCTGGCTCCTGGCCCCTGCCCTTTTCCTTGACACCTCCCCTTGCTAGCTGGCTTCCTGTGGGGTTCCTAACTGAGAGACATTAGCAAAACTCTGTAGACTTGGAGGAAAAGGGGAAGCCAGGTGCTTCTCCATCACTGCCTTGGGAAGAAGTTCTGGAAGGAGTTGCCTGGCCCCACGGCTCCAAGTTCCACCACGCAGGCCAGACATGGTTCCTGCTTCTGCCCACCAGTGACCTCCAGGCTGAGACTCTCCTCAGTCCCTCCCCTAGCTTCCTGTTGTCTGCTCTCCTGGTTGTTACATTCTTCCATTTTGACCTCTCGGCTCTTCCTCAACTGAATGAATTCCTCTCTGCCTTAAGAGCATAGCGTGATTTGCATTTTCCTATTGACTGATGCAAGGGACAAATAAAATACCTATGAATCAAAATTTGGTTTAGGTACAACACTGCGGGAACACTCGGAGCATCTCTCTGAAACAGAACAGACAAATGGAAAGAGAAAAGATACAACTCATGACAAAAACGATGCAGTAAAAAGCCAACAAGCAAACAAACAATGTGCCCAAGAGTCTATACCAGTAGGTAAGACTAACTGACTGACTTTGCGTGAGTGTGGAGAGGGTGAGGGACCCTGGTAGTGCCAGAGGCATAGTCTAATGCCTGCTGCAAGAAGCAAATCACACAGAGCCAGGTGCAGTGACTCACACCTATAATCCCAGCTACTTGGGAGGCAGAGATCAGAAGGATTGAAGTTGGAGGCCAGCCTGGGCAAAAAGGGAGACCCTAACAAGTGTGGTGGCACTCACCTCTGATCCCAACTACATGAGAGTCCTAAGTAGGACAATCACTCTCCAAGCCAGCCCAAGCAAAAACAGGAGACATTACCTAAAAAATAACCAAAAAGGTTTGTGTCATGGCTCAAGTGGTACAGTGCTTGCCTAGCAAGCATGAGGCCCTGAGTTCAAACCCCAGTACTGCCAAAAAAGAAAAGAAAAGAAAATCAGACACAGAGAGGGCAGGAACAGAACCTGATACACTGATGAGACCTGGAGGAAGATAGTTAGAGAAGAAAAACTTGGGCCCAAATGGAGGAAGAATTGTAAAATCTCCCTGGGGAAGAGAGAAATAAAAGGCAAGGTCAGAGAGTGACCAGAATCGATGCAGAGTCGATGAAGGACAAATACGTTGGGGTGGAGGCGGCAGTGTGTGAGTGGATGCACCTAGGCCGTAGGCAGAAGCACAAGGAGGAAAGAGAGCAGGTGAGGCATAAATGAACATAAATCAGGAGACAGCAAGGTTCCCTGGATCTTACTGCGTTCCTCTTCATCTTCAGAGGATGGACAAGAGGCTATCCAAGAGGACAATGGAGATTCAGTCCCGGAGGCCCCCAGCCCACTGTCCTGCCATGAAGAAAGTAACTATTACTTCTCTCATCACTGTTGCTGTTCAGATGGTTTCTATTTGCTTGATTAGTAGGTGTTTATAAAAACCTTCTTAATGCCAGGCACCAGTGGCTCACAACTGTAATCCCAGCTACTCAGAAGGCAGAGATCAGGAGGATCGCAGTTCAAGGCCAGCCTAGGCAAATAGTTTGCATGACCCTATCTCAAAAAATACACAAACAAACAAAAAAAAAAGACTGGTGGAGTGACTCTAGTGGTAGAGCACCTGCCTGGCAAACATGAAGCCCTGAGTTCAAACCCCATACCACCAAAAACATATATATATATAAACCATTTTTTAAATTGACAAATGAACACTTATGTATATTTGGGGCTGGCAGTGTAGCTCAGTGATAGAGTGCTTGCCTAGGTTAGACCCCAGCACTGCACACACACAGAATTACATGTATTTATCCTGTACAAAATGATGTTAAAATGCATGCATGTGTGTACACATTGAAATGGCCAAATTGAGCTAATTGACATATATTCCTCACATACATTTGTGGTGAAAATACTCAAAATCTATCATCTCAGCAATTTTTGAAAATTTAATACACTTGCTATAGTCACAGTGTTGTAAATAGAGCTTGTAGTTATTTTGCCTAACTGAAATCTCATATCCAACACCTCCTCAACCTCCTCCCCACTCCCACCAGACACTGGTAAATATCATTATTCTCTCCACCTGGAGAGGTTGAACGCTTTTACACTCCACATAAAGTGAGGTCGTGCGATAGTTGTTGTTCTGCACCTGGCTTTTTTCACTTAATATAATGTTCTCCTGTTCATCCGTGTTGTCACAAATGACAGGATTTCTTTTAGGGCTGAGCAGTATTCCTTCATTGATGACCATCACATTTTCTTTATTTGTTGGTTTCTTTATTTATTTACACTGATTTCAGACATTGGGATTTGTCAGTAATGCTGTAATAGACATGGGAGTGCAGACATCTCTTTGATAGTCTGATTTTAGTTCTTTTGGTTATATACCCAGTAGAGGGATTGTTAGGTCATATGATGGTTCTTCTTTTAATTTTTTAATAAAATTTTTATTGGGATATATTCATTGTACAGGAGGTGTACAATTCCAATCAGACAACCTCTTTATTCGTTGTAGTATGTCTTGATGTAGTCTTATATTGAATCTGTTTGGAGACTTTTCACTTCCTGTACTGGGAAATTTGTATCTTTCCATAAATCTGGAAATGTTACTGCTATTATTTCTTTAAATAAGACTTCTACTCCCTTTGTCTTCCCCTGGTGTACATTACTTACATATCTCCCATCTCCTCTTAATTTTTAAAGTAACCTCCATACTCTTTTCCACAGTGGCTGCTAATTGCCTTGCATCCTCTCCTTAATTGTAATAGCCATTCTCAGTGGCCA